GAAACTTTAAAGAACTGTTGTGGTCTGCCAGCAGCCTGCAGAGCTGGCAGCAGAGTTGGACAGCGATGAGACTGAGGAAAAACAGGGGCCAGTCCTGGAGGCTGGGGAAGGCCCAGATGAGGGCTCTGTGTCGGAGGCAGAGATGGGGCCAGGGTCATTGAGAAGTGATGTGTGGACTTCGGAGCCTCCAGAGGCTGACAGTAGAGAGGCAGAGGAACAGGAGGAGCCTGTTCCTAGTGCACATATGAGAAGAGCTGCCAGAAGGCAAGAGCAGCTAAAGCAGAGAGGACGACTCGGGAATAGGGCCAAGAGATGATTGCCCCCCCCCATAAGGCTTCAAAGACCAGCAATGGCTCTTGGCCTCTTTGCCGGAAAACAATGTTGATAAACTTGGTTCTTATCTTGCTCAGCGTCCTCTGCTTCTGAACTTTTGCCAAGATAAGTCTTTGTCAGTTTGTCTAATTATCCCAAGGTCAGGTGATAAACTGTGGAATGGTGTTTTGAAGAATTTGCTTTAATTTAGTTTGGACTATGCTGAGAATGAGGTAATTCTCAGCTGTTCTAATAAAGTCTGTTTGTTTTTGAACTGTTTGTATTTAATACTAACTACGTGGGCCTGGGTCACAACAAGAACTTTGCCTGGGAAAGATAGACAACATGATCAGAAGATGTATACAATCTCCATTTTTAAAATCAGATTATATTTTTAGGGTGTTGGGATGATTTATTCAATGTGAGTAAATTCTTAACATTTCATTCATATTCTTAATAGGCCAATTTCTTGTCGGTTGGTTGGTTTTTAAACAAGAGAAACGTGATGCTGTAAATTGTTGTCATGTTTTCAGGTTTCAATTTGGAGGACTCCCAGTTTTGAAGTAGACCTCATGCTACAGTCCATCACTATGGCTTAGACAAATATAAAACTGTAAAAGACAGACCTGGAAGCCATCTTTTACATTTGGACCTTGATTTATTACTGAGGGAAATTGGGAGGGGGGATTGTATGGAGCATGGGTGATATGTAGTCATAATAGCATTCCTTTCTCAGAAAGTCAAGGCCGTCTTGCCCTGGACCTGGGAGGCTGGACCTGGGAGGCATCTCCAGTTGGGACAGTGGTTTGATTGGATCATGTGATAGACTTGTGGGTGTTGGGCAGGGACTTGAACTTTCCTTTGGATGGGGAAAACCTGGAAACTTTCAGATTCGGGTTTTCCTAGATGTGCCAATATGACATCTCTAATAAAGACTTGAGGAAAAGCCTCCAGAACCCGGGGAGGGCAAAAACTCCCCCCGCTGTGGTGCAGGAGACTGACTAGGCCACACCCCTCATGGCCACGCCCACCCAGCAACCGGGCAGAGAACCCCATGCTAAAATTTTTGACAAAGGAGCAGATAAATGCATATCTCTGGAGTCGCAGAAAAAGAACAAATAGCAAAAAAAAAGGTATAAGAAATAATGAATGAAACAGCTACAGGTCTCCAGAAAGACAATAAAAGCCACAGAATGAGGAAACAATGATCCAACAGGTCATGGTTTTCTAGTATGTGTATGTTTATACGTATGGTGTGGAGATTAAAGCACCCGACTAGAAACTGAGAGACTGTGAGTTCCAGAATCGTCTTGGCACAAATCCAGCTGTGTGGTCTTGGAATTGAAGGCGCTAATATGGTAAATCAGCCACCTATCTGCCCTTCTCAATTTCAGGAAGGGAAAAGAAATAGTTTCCTTATCGCATCTTTCTTTGCGATTTAAGTACAGTCAGTTAGGATAGAGTTCACCAGAGAGGTTTTTCTATAGTAAAAAAAAAAAAAAGGATAGTCATATATTCATTTCAGCCACTAGCTAAGCGTAAGAATATACACTCCTCTCATGTGCTTTTCTTTTAAATTCTTCTCTCTGGAAAAAAAGAAAATAATAATAGAAAATTCTCTTTCGTGGAAAACATTTTTGGGTTTTTTTCCTGCACAACCTAAGAGAGGCTTTCTCTGTGCAAACATCTACTTTGTCACTCAGCTCTGTAGCCTGCCCCACCGTTGTTGAATATTCTCTGTATTTTGTTTTTTTAAAAAAACAAAACCTTACTCCCCTCAAAAAAAAAAAAAGAATATTCTCTGTATTTATTTCACCTCTGGTGAACATAGATATTATAAAATCTGCAAAACTATTTCCTCAGAGAGGCAGTGAGAACTCGGTATCATTTATATGTTTTATGCATGGAAGCCTCTGGAAAGTTTAAAAGTTTAAAATTCGGAGTGCCACAAACTGCTGGAAACTCTTTGATCAGTTACTTCTGGCTTTCCAACAACTGCATGCAAAACCTCATAAAAACACTCATGGTGCACATCATTTATTATCATACTTATTGCTGAGAGGTGCTCAGATTATCAAAACAAGGGGGCACTTTTTTCAGCAAATTACTCATCTTTGTATGGTAAAGAAGAAGGTTTCTTGAATAACCAATTGCTTACTTTTTTAATGCAAGATGATTTTATATATATATCAGAGGTGGGTTTCAGCAGGTTCTGACCAGTTCTGGAGAACCGGTAGTGGAAATTTTGAGTAGTTCGGAGAACCAGTAGTAAAAATTCTGACTGGCCCCGCCCCCATCTATTCTCTGCCTCCCAATTTCCAGCTGATCGGGAGGAAATGGGGATTTTGCAGTAATCTTCCCCTGGATTGGGGAGGGAATGGAGATTATACAGTATCCTTCCTCTGCCACGCCCACCAAGCCACACCCATCAAGTCATGCCACGCCCACCAAGCCACGCCCACATAACCGGCAGTAAAAAAAAATTGAGACCCACCACTGATATATATATATAATTATCTTGCATTAAAAAGTAAACAATTGGTTATTCAAGAAATCTATATATATTCAAGAAATCTATATTATAATTGTGTTGCAGAGGCATGTACAGCAAATAAATTTAATAAATTACTAAGTAAGTAAGTAAGTAAGTAAATTCCCTAATACCAGCAGGAGACTGAATTTTATGTCAAAAATTGTCCTCCAAAGAAGATTGAAGTACATTGTATGTATTATGTTTTGAGTAGTAAGAGCTTCTAACTCAACAATGCCATTCATCAGGGAGAAGAGCCTCTCTTATTTCTTGCAGTTTTAAGTATGTGTATTCATCTGAAATTTAAAGAGGGCATTTATAAGGAAGGAAGGAAGGAAGGAAGGAAGGAAGGAAGGAAGGAAGGAAGGAAGGATTCCTAAGTATAAAATACTAAGAAATAAATAAAATGTAGCAAAACACACACACACACACACACACACACACACACACACACACACACACAATAATATTGCCTGAACCATTCAAATGAAGAGCAGAAAACATAACATTGTATGGCACACTGAAGGGCCATTTGAATCTAAAGAGTTCCACAATATTGCTTCCTGCAGCACAGTTCCTGACTGGCAGTATTAAAAACGCTGATTCTACTCAAGAGCATATCTGTATGTATGCAAGGAGAGATTAAGAGAGAAAACATCTTCATAGACATCTTGTGCATTAGAAACATCACACCCTCTGCACATTGAACTCCTCCTGTTTATTTAAAACCTCCTCCTCCTCAATTGAGACATTCAAATCCAGAAAATAGAATGATTCTGACTTAATTCCCTGTTAACTCTAAAGACAGATTGCAATGTTACTTGCATTCTCTCACAGGATGAAAATGGTAAACCTCAAGTTTTCTTGTTCTGTTTTAAGGATCAACTATGCAAAGATAGGGCACTTTTATCTTAAAAGAATCGAGCGTATCTTTCACTCATCCCTTATCTATTGTCCTTCTCAGCCAAATCTAGAATCTAAACACGTGAAGCTGCATTTTTCCCTCATTTAATACTACGGAATCTCCTCCCTTCCCTCTGCTTCCTTGTTAGTTCTTCTTCTCCCTTTGATTTTAAAGCCTTCAGGCAAGGACTCTAACTTTTTTTTTTTCAAGACCTTGTTTGCTAAAAATGGCACATGGACCTGCTTTGAACGATGTTATCGTGGTTCATCTAGCCAAATATATAACCTAAACTCTGAAGACTATACAATGCTTCTCGGAATCTTGCAGGAACTGCCACAGAGCTCCACAATTATTCCCAAATGGTAAATATTAATGTGAGAGAAATACACAGGGGGTCCTTAGCCCAAAAGTTCTAGAATCTACTCTGAGGGACACTCCAAGGCTAGGAGAAAAACATATTTCATGGCACTCCTTAAGAAGATAGATTTAGAATGAGAATATGGATTAAAGCATTGGATGCTTTAACTGGGCATATTCTGATGCTCAGCCACAACTTTAAACCTGAATTATTGCAGAAAGTCTATAAATGGGGGAAAATCTTGAATGCTGCCTTAAGCTTTTTACTAGGATATAAATGAAACCAATTACTAAGAAAAAGATAAATTTATCATTCCAAACTGGAGATGTCAGAGATTAAAAATCTAGTCCCTTAGGTGCAAAGCACGTATTTTCTCAGTAACCTTTTCTTCTCTACTACATTTGTGTGTAAGTAGGTAAATTGGTTTATTTTTGTAATCACAAGTGATAACATAAGAATGCCATAAAATTCAATAAAAATAATAAATAGTTTCTCTGTGCACACAACTTTTTTGCCTCCATAAAAGTACCACAACTGAGGTTTTATGACTGTAAAAAATAATTTGCATTCACAAACACTACCAAAATGAGTTCCTGTTCTTCATAAAGCAGACTATTTAACTACAACGAGCTGTTTGCTTTTTTTCCACTTACCACCTTAGTTGCCTCAACAAAATTTATAAATGTCCTCCCTTCATTTTAATGTTTCTATTTTGTCAGCCCTTTAGGTGGAAGAGTGAGAAATGACTCACCTGTTTATGCTCTACAAATTGGCTAATATTAGCAGCCATCCACCTACACATTATATTTAAATGCAGGACACAAAACAGCATTGGGGTAGCATTCTTCTTTTCTCATTTCACAAATGAAAGTTGGTTGACATTCCAAAGCACTTACCTGTGTGTGGCTCAACTGAAAAATAAGGTTGTCCTTCCAAAATACTGTAGACTAGCTTAGCACTGTTTCCATAAACAGGATCATCTGCATCGGTGGCTGTCACTTTAGTAACGTAAGTACCTAAGGACAAACAGAAACAATATTGGATTTTGTTCAAGGCTCTGAAATATCAGTGCCACTATAACTTTGAATGGTCACTGAACAAAAGCTTGTGAGTTGAGGACTACCTGGAATCAGGAAAGCAATGAACAGAATGAAACATTCATGTTCGGACATAATAAACCTCTCGTTGCAAATGAAGAGAACAGTGGAATCTCTCAGTAAAACAATGATGTGAACAAACCAAGAAAGCAAGTAAGAAACCAGGAAAGAATGATAAAGGCTTGGGGATGGTCTGCAAACTCCAAACTCCCCAGATCTGAATATCTCAAATATGTAAAGCCCTTAAGGATATTTAAGAATGTTTCTAATCTGGAAGTATGCTTCAAGGAAGAAGAGAGGGAGGGGGAACCCAAATTAGTAGAAAAATATTTAAGTTGGCTACAGGAAATGTTTTGAAGTCATCATTTCTGTCAAAGGAAGAGTTGTTAAATGACTCCCAAATTGGTATAGGAGAATCTAGTTTGTGGTTTTCTTCCATGCTGTCTTGGAAAATAGATTTAACTCATGTTAGGCAAAATAAAGAAAAAAAAAACAACAACTCATCAGCTCATCAAAGTAGAAACAGATAAATCCACGCAGGTACCTCCCAAGCCATTAGAAGCTCAAATATGAATATAATTCTTCCAGTAATCATACTAACAGAATAAGAAAGCAGGATGACCATTTAACCTGGAAGATAAATATTCTTTCTTCATATCATACCAATGCGGTCCTGTACATAGTAAATATTGTATTAATCTTGTTTTAATGGTGGTAGATTCAGTAGTGAAATGTTTATCCTTGTGCACGGATGCAAGCATTAATCGATTTAATTAGATTTATTAGGCTGCACACCATAGTCATGTCTCGTATTTCCAGGAGTTCCTTTGCACTGAAGCAATAGCACACACTCACTTGATGCTTCCATTAGAATTGTCAAGACAGGGCCAAGCTGCCTTGATCAAGGGGGTTCCTTTGCTTCACAAAAACGTGACTCCAGAAACCACATTTGACAGCCAAAGCAAAGCACAGCGTTCAGTTTGCTCTGCCAATTAGAAGCCGTGTGTTGTGACACTGTTCAAAAGAGCTTAGAAATCTGCTTTGATCAATGTGATTTGTCCCTTTGAGGCTTTCTGCAGCCCTAATATTTATGTGCCATCCTTTTGGGGGGTTTTTTTGTTAAAAAAATCCACCGCACATGCAACATTGAGGTTCTGTATCCTAAAATGTTAATTCAACAATATAAATAAAATATTTTAAAGCCAGACTCCCTTCCGCAGTCAAAGAGCTAATCTGAAAGAGGCATCAAAATTTTAAAAGCAGGCGGTAATCACCATTTGCAGCTCCGCGGAGCACATTGAAGAGTTTGGGAATTAAAATGAGAAAGCCTTTTGCATCGGTTCATCAAGGCCTACAATACAGATAAAATCCAAAAAAAAGTCCTCTCCTGAAGAGATAAAGAATTAAGACAGACGAAGCATCTACCAGGGCAGATTTAGAGCAGCAGAAAATCTATGTTGATCTGTACAAATCTAGGCAGATCCCAAAACAATGTTGCTTGAAAAGCAGAACAAAACCTGAATTGTTTTTATTAGGTATAATATCAGAAAAACTTGATAAGAAAAGTATGTATATAATATTACATGTCTTAACAGCAGCGAGGATTATTTTTGCATAATATTGGAAAAGTGATTACCGCGAGATTAAGAAATAGTGAAGAAGATAGTAGATTGTGCAGAAATGGATAGATTGACATTGAAAATTAAACAGAAAGAGGAGGTAGAATATTATCAAACAGGGAATTTATTTTACCAATGGTTGGAAAAAAGGGGTGGAGATTAAGAATGTAATTTGTATTGTTAAGCAAATTAAATACCCATATTTATGAAGCACTAAGAAATGTATTTAATAGAAAATCAATAAAAGGGGGAAAAAAAGAAAAAAGAAAAGCAGGACAAAATGAAAGAGCGACTAATACAACCAGGAGGAGTATGTTACCAAGCAAATACATCTGCTGTAGAGGTGGGTTTCAGGAGGTTCTGACCAGTTCTGGAGAACCGGTAGCGGAAATTTTGAGTAGTTTGGAGAACCGGTAAATATCACCTCTGACTGGCCCCACCCCCGTCTATTCTCTTGTCTCCCAAGTCCCAGTTGATCGGGAGTAATTGGGGATTTTGCAGTATCCTTCCCTTGGAGTGGGGTAGGAATGGGGATTTTATAGTATCCTTTCCCTGCCATGCCCACCAAGCCACGCCCACCAAGCCAGGCCATGCCTACCAAACCATGTTCACAGAACCAGTAGTAAAAAATTTTGAATCCCACCACTGAATCTGTTGGAATATCATGATTAAAATTTTGTCTCTATTGAGATCCACTTTATGATTGAAAATGATAGCATCTAAAATAGGGATCTTGGAACACTGGTAACTTTAATTTGGGGAAGGCAGTCCCTCTTTTGGCTCTAATTCTGAAGTGACCAAACAGCAATGATGACCATGATATAATATTTCAAGGTGGACCTCAAACCATACAACAAAATGCAATAAACACTAAAGCTTAAATTATGATCAAAGAAATGAAGCTGTACTATAACTTTAAATGCAGAAAGCATAACAAGCCATTCAGAAAGACGTGACAGATGATAAAAAAACATACAAACCACCCTAATTGATCATGTATTAAGAACAGAATCAAATGTAACAAACTTCCTCTTTCTCCACTCCAAAAAAATATTAGAACCTGGAACAGGTATTGTTAAATCTGGTAGCCAAATCTAAAAAACGGCAAATCACAATTATATAGCAATAGCAATAGCACTTAGACTTATATACCACTTTACAGTGCTTTACAGCGCCTCTCTAAGCAGTTTACAGAGTCAGAGTCAGAGTCAAATGGTTGTCCCCAACCATTTGGGTCCTCATTTTACCCACTTCTGAAAAATGGAAGGCTGAGTCAACCTTGAGCCTAGTGTGAATCGAACTGCCAAATTGCAGGCAGCTGGCAGTCAGCAGAAGTAGCCTGCAATACTGCACTCTAACCACTGCGCCACCATAGCTCATATATGGGGATGGATTGGGCATTCCAAAAGCCCAATGTATTTAAAAGAAATACAATTTCAAATAAATACCTTTCAGGTAAAACTTTCTAAAACAAGTAACATGACATATTAAAAATCCTAACAGCGTATAGAAATTGTATCAATTAAAAAACCTGAACCAAACTAATTACTAGCACAAAATCAATGACAGCAAAATAATAGAAAATACAACCATGCTCCTAAGAAGACATTGCAAAATAATAATAATAATAATAATAATAATAATAATAATAATAATAATAAGTAGTAATAGTAATAGTAATAATAATAGCAGCAGCAGTATTGAAGGAATATTTGAAGGTCAGGGAAGAAGATGCACTAGTATAGATGGTCCTCGACTTACAACAATTCATTTAGTGACCGTTTGAATTTACAACATCACTGAAAAAGTGACTTATGGTCATTTTTCATACCTATGACCGTTGCAGCATCCCCATGGTCACATGATCAAAATTTGGATGCTTGGCACTTGGTTCATATTTATCATGGCTGCAGTGTCCTGGGGTCACTTTTGCGTCCTTCGGAGGAGCAAAGTGAATGGGGAAGCCAGATTCACTTAAGAACCGTGTTACTAACTTAACAACTGCAATGATTCACTTAACAACTGTGGCAAGAAAGATCATAAAACAGAGCAAAAATCACTTAACAACTGTCTCACTTAGCAACAGAAATTTTGGGGTGAATTATGGTCATAAGTCGAGGACTACCTGTACACGAGAAAAACTCCTTGTAAAACCAGAGAAACCAAACTGGACTACCAGAAAGACCAAATGAAGAATAGAAAAGAGATACGGCAAGGCAAAGTATTACATGGCAAGTACATAAAAAAGACAAACAGATAATAATAAGACTTAAGAGCAGCAAATTTGAATGAAGAGAAAAAGGAGCTAATTCTGGTTGTACAAGACCAAGCCTTAAGAACAAATGCATAAAAAGCCAGAAAAGTAACAGCCAGAAAATGCCACCTCTGTAAAGAAGCTGAAGAAACAGTGGGATGTATAAGTTAGCTGCTGCAAGAAGATTGCACAGACTGACTGCAGACAATAGCATGGCAAAGTAGCAACAATGGTGTATTGGAAGATCTGCAAGAAATGCTTTTTTGGGGGGCAACTACCAGCCAGGCAACGAGGAAGGATTAAACAGGGAAATAGCTTTGAGTGGTTGCCCAGCTTCAAGAGACTGAGGACTAATCCCCTCCTCTAAATTCCAGGGAATATTGTCTGTCTGTTCCCAAGACAAAGCAGTCTCTGGAGATTCTTGTATTATAAAGGTAAAGGTTCCACTCACACATATGTGCTAGTCATTCCCCACTCTAGGGAGCGATGCTCATCTCTGTTTCAAAGCCAAAGAGACAGTGCTGTCCAAAGACATTTCCGTGGTCATGTGGCCGGCATGACTAAATGCCAAAGGTGCACAGAACTACTTGCATTTTTTACATGCTTTCGAACTGCTAGGTTGTCAGAAGCTGGGACAAGTAACGGAAGCTCACCCCATTACGTGGCACTAGGGATTTGAACCGCTGAACTGCTGACCTTTTGATCAACAAGCTCAGCTTCTTAGCCACTGGGCCACCACATCCCTTCATTCTTGTATTATAGTATTATTATTATTGTAATTATTGTATTATTGTATTATACTGCATCCCTTCATTCTTGTATTATAGTAGAATGCAAAAAATTAGTTGACTTCAACCCTTCACATGTCCTCTGGTTGTTTACACACAATATCATTTGCCTGCAAGCAAGAACTGATAGGACCATTAAATAGATAAAGTAGTAGAAAATTAAGAAGCTTTGGGCCTTTAGAACAGATAAGGACCTTCCACATAATACCCCAGTCTTAACAATTGTTGACAAGAAATACAAAAAGGTTTGGATAGTGG